TCGAAGTTAGCACTGGTAAGAACACTGGAATTTTTGTCTCCACTTGCTCTTGACACAATAAGATAGCATTCTTTTCTGAACTTTGAAAGGCAGCGAGTGATTTTTGGGTCAAACGGGCTTCTTGTTCAGACCCTTCACTTTGCGAAGCAAGTAAAGACTGAAGCAGCAATTTTCGAACTTCTCATGAGATTAAATTACCTCTCAAGATTTCGTAGAGAAATTAAAGAAAAAACCTCCCGATAGTCTTCTTGTAGTAGAGCATGTGATGGTTATATTTTATCCGTAGATTTCTCATGTGCCTTTTAAAGTTTAATGAAGGGTATTTAGTTGGGCATGTATTGTGTTTCATATGGATCCTCTATGACTAACTTTTTGGCATGAGCTTTTTTTACAGTTGCATCGATCTAAACTTTTTCCTATGGCATGTTTGGTAAGTAATAGAAGATCGGATTAAAAATCAGATTCTAATTTTATTTGCTTAAATGCTATCAAGTATTGTATAGTCCTACTAAATAAGCCACTAGTATATATTTCTCCATGACTTTTACTCCTAATGTCATTTGGTGAATCAGATTGATTTATCTCTACGCAGAGTTTGCTAACTTGTTTCAGTGTAGAATACAGCGAATCCTATCTAATGCAGGTACTGCTGTTGCTATAAATGCATCAGCTCATCCCTCATAAATTCACTTTGCTAAACCACAATATAAATTCCTTTTTTCATCAATTACATCAATCGAATAGAATCAAAGTGCTGTGAAGTAAAGAGGCGACAGTGCTTTTGGAAAATTTGGCGAGTTGGTGAAAAATTTAGGTTCATTGAATGAAAGATAGAATATGAGATATTGATATATGGCACATTCGCACTAACGGTTACAAGAAGTGCAAGAAGGCACAGGTTTGAGTGTATTCTTTCCTAATTATGTCGGGAAAGAGTGCAAGAAATATTTTGACGTATATCGTTTTATTGTCCTGCTAAAGGCTTTGCTTGATCAATATGAAGAAGAACTCAACCCTAGTAAGCCCATAGCACTATGCAGCATCTCTTCCAAGAAATTCGAACTAATACTTATTATTATGAAGGTCGAGAGCCAATCTTCCTCGTACCATTAACAAAAATGGAGAAAAGCAAGGAACCGATCCGAATCATGACACACGAACATTTCATATAATTTTATTATGTGGCCTCCATATTTGATTAGACCTTCATAGTAGCTTGAGTTTCTGCTTTAAACAATTTAAAGTAACTTACTCCTTCAGATTTATATAAATAGGGACGAGATTATAAATCATGAACAAAATTATTATTTGTGTCCATGGACTTCTCTATGTGTCCTTAAAAACAGTTGTCCAATCACATAACAAGATTGTAGGAAATCAATATTTTCTCCACCTGTTCTAGCAAGAAAAAATAGAATTCTCTCTAAAATGCAAACCCTCACTTTATTTATATAAACCCAAACGGGCTTGGTCTGTTTTCTGACTCGGTCCTGGGCGTTTGTTTCTCATTTTTATAAGAATGAGAATGAAAAATATAGTCCTTATGAGCTCCACACAAGAGATAGAAATTCAAATTTGGTGGCTTGATGTGAATGATAACGGTCATATTTTTCATTTTAATAAGAAAAGAATGGGAACCAAACATGGGCTTAATTAATCTATTTAATTAAATCTAGTCCATGCAAACATATAAATAAGCAACTCAATTAATTAATTTATCCAACGCTTGTTAAATTAATTAATTGACAAATCACAATGTTTTAGTTCTCCTTTTGTGTACGACTCATCATGTTCCCAATCATGATGTCTAATGACGTGAATTATTAATTTGATCTAATCAAATTGATAAATTAAAATACCATTTTAATTTATCAACAATTTACATTCGCTGTCCCCAATTGACATCTAACAATGTGTCAGGGCAATGCATGTGATCGAGAATGTCATGTGGTATGAAAAATCAAACTCGTTCGTTTACTGTGAAATTATAATCTCTTTGTCAATATGATCCGATCAATTACGAGATATTGAAGTATGTAAATCCTGATTATTGATCATGTCTTTCATTTCACTATTAAGTCAATATAAGTCGAAAACTCTTTTTCGACTTCTGTGTACACCTTGCCCAAGGATTTTGTCATCGATTTAATTGAATGAAATGTAGATCATAATATTTTACTATTTAAGAGTGACAAATCTTCTATTGGTCATTCACAACATTCATAAGATTCTTAACATACCCGAACGATGTAGTATTAGCGGCCTTTGGCAGAGCAACATCTAACACCGTCAAAGTATGGTTGTCCTCATATAAGGCACCATGATGATCACAAGTCAAACGACCAATTTCACTCCCAGAACGTTAGAGATTAACCACTGATATTCATATAATTATCCATGTGGAATTTCTCAACGGGTTTCCAATATTTTGTTCCATAACAAAACATCCATGTATTCATTTAAATATCACCACACTTTAACCTGTGAGATCACCTATTTACTTTACAAGTAAGAAATGTCACACGTAATGATCTATCTGTAATAACGATATCTGTATCTCGTTATTACTTATGACCACGTATGATTTAACACTCAATCAGATATAATTTGTATCTCATAATCACAACTTCTCGTATTAATAAATTACCAAAATTTGAATCTACGAACTCTATTATTTAATTTAATTGAATATTAAATATTAAATCTGCCATAAATTGCATCAATTATATATTAAAAGTGTTTATGTCCAAAATTGATTAGATCTAAGACATAACACTTACACGAACAACCTCAAAGCTTTTAGAGAACAATGGGGACTATTCAAACAACCTTTCGATGAAATGTCTATCTAAACAAAAAAACAAGTGTCAATGGTTTCTAGGTATGCGACGCGTGCACAATCCAAAACCCATGGTACTTAGGCCTTCTCTCTTTTCTCACAAAATTGGGTGCCTTTGTGGTCCAAACCCAAATGCCAAACACGACATCATAAAAAACCAAATATTTTTCACTAATTTTTTCATGTGAGTCAAATGTTCACCAGTTCAATCAAAATTTCAACATTTCAAGTTTTAAGTGGGTTAACCTGTAAAGTAATTAAAAATGTCGATATGCTTTCTTTTCTTGTTCTGGATCAATAAATCCTTCAAGTTGCTCTATATGAACTTTTTCATCTAATTAAAATGTCATTTTACATCCATTTGATATATTTTCAAACTATTTAATGTTGTTATTGCTATAAGCATTCAAATGGATGTTATTCTTGTAATATGTGAATATATATCGAATAATCAAGATCTTTCTTTTTTTTTTTTGTAGCCTTTAGCTACAAGTCTTACTTTTATATTTATATTTGTCAATTGATTCACCGGCATTTATTTCACTTTTTAAAGCACATTTGCCCCCATAGAAATCTCTCTATATTTTGTCCTAAATTTTCAAGTATTTTGTCAATTTGAAACAACTCATAGACTCTATTGTAAGCGAGTGAGCCACGGTTATGACGTACGAGTGATGAAGCCCTCACTCAGGAGCTAGTGACTAAAGGTTGGTTCTTTATTTTCTTATGGTCGTGTACATAGAAGAAAAATAGCTAAGACTATAAGAGTATTAACTTAAAGTTGTGTAGTGCCACTATTGCTATAAGCATTCAAATGGATGTTATTCTTGTAATATGTGAATATATATCGAATAATCAAGATCTTTCTTTTTTTTTTTTGTAGCCTTTAGCTACAAGTCTTACTTTTATATTTATATTTGTCAATTGATTCACCTGCATTTATTTCACTTTTTAAAGCACATTTGCCCCCATAGAAATCTCTCTATATTTTGTCCTAAATTTTCAAGTATTTTGTCAATTTGAAACAACTCATAGACTCTATTGTAAGCGAGTGAGCCACGGTTATGACGTACGAGTGATGAAGCCCTCACTCAGGAGCTAGTGACTAAAGGTTGGTTCTTTATTTTCTTATGGTCGTGTACATAGAAGAAAAATAGCTAAGACTATAAGAGTGTTAACTTAAAGTTGTGTAGTGCCAATAGTATCGACATGAAGAAGAGGCTATCGACTTTAAGAAAACATTATTGTGATCACCTAAGGCCAGAACTTTGTAACTCTATCTTTTATTTATTTTTTTGTGTTAATTTAAATCTATTTATATAATTAGCTCCTATTTAGTTCTAATAAAATAATTGATAAAAATTTAAGTCAAAATCAACAATTAATTTTAGTTACACATTTCATGGAATCCACAACTTTTCAACCACACGTTCTATCAACTCTTATCAAAATCTACTAAAATCTGATTTTTTATTGAGTAGTAAAATTAAATGTTAAAAATCAAAAGGTTGTTGGTTTATTTAAAAAAAATTTATTCTCTAAATTTATATATACTCTTTAACAATAAAAAGCCTCTTGAATATGCCGTAAGTTAATTAAATATCATTTTCTCCCATAACAAAGCAAGATGCTTATTTACTGTATCACTTTGCCGTCGTAGATATAATAAGTTTTATCACCGTAAAAACTATTGTGTACAAGTTGGAAATTTGACGCATATTTTCAACACTAATGGTTGTTTTATAAAATGTACAGAAAACGGTGATAAATTTTCTTTCATTTCCCTTAATCGAAATTAAACATTTATTTCAAGGTTTAATTCCATTTTTTTATATACACTTTCCAAAGTGTCACTAACAAAGAAATATTTGCAGAGATCGATTAGGAGCAGACATGAGACTGGAGAATGATTGTTGACTGTATACGACAATTCATATGATTCCTCCATTCCAACCAGGTGGCTAGCACCCAACGATGGCTAGCCATTGTGTACACTTATAAAGGAAAAATCTTCGTCCAAGGCGCCTGATTGGCGCACCCTCCGGGCACCGCCCTGTGCGTCCAGCAGGGCACCACTTGTAGATTTGATACAATTAAAAGAGAGCTTAGCGGTGAACAATCAGCATTATATCAACAAAAACGATTTCATACTGTAGAAATTATCATCAAATTGTTCATCCAAATAAGCAGATACTCATATATATATATATATATTGTAGGTCTATTACAAGATTAATCAACTAACACCAGGGACAGATACAAGCACGGGCGCGACCATGCTATAACCCGTGTCCGCCCCTGAAAATGTCTACTTTATTCTTTTTTTATTTTATTAAGATAAATTCATTTATTTTTGTTTTGTAGCCCGGCTGGATCCGTCACTGACTACACACACACACATATATATATAGGTCTATTACAAGATGAATCAACTAACACGTTTTGTTGGTACCACCTTCAAGGGTTCCTGTTTTCGCACAACGGTTCCAATCAACTCATTCATGTCAATGGTGTTTGGATTTTTCGAAAAATCAAGTTCCCAATTAAATTCGTGAAGCAATGAGCCTAACAAAAAGTGCATCATAAGATGGCCTAATGGAAGACCTGGACAAATCCTTCGGCCTGCACCAAATGGTATGAACTCAAAATGTTGTCCCTTGAAATCAGTATTGGAGCCTAAAAACCTTTCCGGCTTAAAATCCCAAGGCTCCTCCCAATTTTCTTCGTCTCTTCCAATGGCCCAAACGTTAACAAAAACTTGTGTTTCTTTGGGTATCAAGTATCCCATATAATTAGTGTCTTGAATTGCCTTCCGAGGTACGAGGAAAGGAACGGGAGGATGTAAGCGTAGGGTTTCTTTGATAACTGCTTGCAAGTAAGGAAGTTTACCGATATCACTTTCTTCGAATTTCCTGTTTGATTCTACCACACTTGAAATCTCGTTTTTAACCCTGACCATTGCTTTCGGGTTGCGTAGGAGCTCCGCCAATGCCCACTCGATGGAGGTGCTAGAAGTCTCTGAACCAGCTAAGAACATTTCCTGCATAGGAATGCAGTTGCTTAGCAAATGATTGAGAAATTATTTATGATAAAAAAAAAAAAGGATTTCCAACCACGAAGAAGATTACAAACTTTTTTCTCAATTATGTCTTCAACAAAAAATTCACTTTTTAACCAGATACCTAATTTGTGGATAGAGTAATGCTATTTGTAGTCGTTCACTGCAACAGTTATCCTACGTGGCATACATATGACAGTTGATTATTTGATACATTGATGTGGTAGTTTTTTTATTCATTAATATATCAAATAATCACATGCCATGTGTATGTCACGTAGGACGATTGGTGTAGTGAGCGACTGTAAATAACATTATTCTTGTGAATAATTTTTTCAATGAATGATTGGTAAGGAAACTTCAACTTAGGATATAAATGTACTCCGATATCATATTAAAATCATATCATCTAAAAGTTTTTAAGTTTTAGAGAAGGATACACATATATGCTTTCCGTTTCAAGTTCTAATCCGAGTAATACTAACGACTAATTTTGGTCAAAATGAAAGTTGAAATATACCAGGATAAATGTGTTAATCTCCAGTTCTGATAATTTAGCAGGTTCATTCTTGCTTCCTTCAAAATCAAGCAACACATCCAAGAAGTCTTTCCTCGTCGGTCCGCCTGCCAGACGTTCTTCTATACGCTCCTTGACAAATTTTGTGGCAATATCCATTGCTTTCCCCAAATCACGGTCCATTTTTCTTCTTAGACCTTGCAGGTCAAGCCATCTAAGCCAAGAGAATAAATCTGAAATATTTGGACGGCCACCCCACTCCATTATTCTCTTCATGGCGTCAAAGAATTCTGAAGCCTCTTTCGACTCTGGATCCACTAAATCTTTGGACAACATCAGATTCCCGATCATGTTAAACGATGCCAAGAAAACATATCGTGCCACCTGAATACCATTCCTCCTTCCTTCCACAGAGTTGGCTTCTTTTTCTATCCACAAGAGCATATTGTCAGTGCACTTTCTCCTCAAAGACTCGGTCTCGTTGATTCTCTTGTTAACAAACATTTCCACCGTGCAGAGCCGTCTCATCACCCGCCAATAGACGCCATATGGAGCCAACGCCAAGGAACCTTTGTGGTAATTCTTTGACCTCAAGATGTCAGTAATGTTGCGGTTGATGAATGAGAGATCATGGTTCTTGAAAAATTCATTGGCTACATCTGCAGATTGTATAACCATCGTGTTGACTGAACCAATCTTTAACCACACAACGGGGCCATACTTTTGTTTGAGTCCGGCTATGGTTCTATGTGGTGCAGTTCCAAGTTGGAATATGTGACCAAATAATGGCCATCCAGGTGGTCCTGGAGGTAGCCTGCTGTAATTTGGCCTTCTTTTGTAGAATATGAAGAACAACATTGGTAAAAAGATGGTGCTGGAAAAAACAAGGAAACTCCACTCCATCTCTACAGAACTCAAACTCATCTTCATTCTTAGCCTAATGTCTCTATTAATATTTGCAGTACTCCAGATTTCAAGCTGATAACAAATCTTCTGCTTATAAAATTACTGTTGACTTTTGAATTAATTTACAGTGCTGACAATTACGGATGCATGCTTCTCGAATGTATGTACTTTTAAATATTAGATATTCAAGATTATGGAAACATAATTGAGGACTTGTTTGAACTACATTTTCTCAGAAAAAATATTTTCTTAAAGAGTTATATCATTTCAATCACATATTTTTCAATAAAATAATATTATACGCAAATCTAAAATTTTTCTTTATTTTTTAACCATACATTTTTCATCAATATATTATTAAAAAATTCATTCTAAGAAAAATAATGTGACTCAAACAAGGGTTAAATGTGCATCACATGGACTCTTGAAATTAGGAAAATGAAGAATTATTATATATGAATTGATTTCTTTTATTTTTGTTTATATATTATTCAAAAGTTTAAGATGGACCACGTATTCTCATTTAAATCTTAGAATAAAACTAATTGGTCAGAGTTAAAGACAGGGCCAAATTCAAGAACGCCAAGTGGCCAATAGCCACACCTCCAATATGGGGGGGGGGGGGGGGGGGCCGGGGGCGGGGGGGGGGGGGGGGGGACCCCCCCCCCCCGAAAGAGAATTTTGATTTCTCTGCATGTATTGAAGGGAATATTTGGCATTTCGAAAACCAATATCGGATGAATGAGAAATTACGAATTCTTGGCTCCTTGCCTATGACAAAATGATATATTACACCAAAGAGGAAATGGATTTTTTTTATTTTTTTTTATAAAGATAAAGCGAGTAATTAGAATTAAGTCATAATAAAGTAGTTGAAGTGGAAAAAATCAAATTCTTTAAACTCCAACAAAAAAAATATTGTTAAAAGTATTGAGAAAAAAGAATTATATAGGCAATCTATATTTATGAACAACAATCGAGTATATTTTGAAAGTGTTTATAAATGATTTAAATTATAAATAAGTAAAATGAGTTGTAGATAGTACTTGTTAGTTTTTCAAAATTTGTACATAAAAAGTGGCTTAATTGTTTATAGAATCATGCTACAAGTACATTGAATTTGACATTAATTTTTACATTGTGCCACGTGACAATATCATATTAGACAGTTTTTGAAAAAAACACACTTTCCCGTCAACTCCATTTTTGAAAACATTTAAAAACAATGGAGTGTCAAGACTCCATGTCAACGAAATAATGTACAAGAAGTTTTATTCTTGTTTATAAACATAAGCCAAACATAATAATTTCTTTATGAGCATTTTTGGCTAAGCTTAAATCCTTACCTTTAAGTGAAAAGTAAATTTTCAAATAAGTAATTTTTTATTAGTGAAATTCAGAAATAAGCAACTTACAGTAATATTTTTCTTCAATAATATGATGCCACGTGTCAAACCTTGGGATCATTACATTTGCATACATGGCACCCTGAGATTTCTTCTTCTTTTGTATTATGAGCGAACCAAACAAGGACTTGATGCCTACCAATGAAGATATTCAATTGGATGTGGTTGAATTTTATTAAAATTACACGATTTTCTGCATATTTATTCATATTATCTTATATTTATTGTTATAAGAATCGCTCTCAATCGGGTAGAATGTCACGTTTATTTATATTAATATGTTGTTGAAGAGGCGTCACAAAAAATATATGCATGTACAGTGAAAGTTTGGGAAATTTAGTTAAAAGTGTTGGAATCAATTCTCTATCTTAAGACATGATGTTTCATCCGTTTATAATCTCTTTATAAGTTTCCTTACATAGATTTGGCCTTGACTTTAAGCCTAGCCAAACAACACGGTTCTAAATCTGATCTTCTTATCGTGTGGAGATGTAGTATGGTCCCTTCATCTGGGAGGAATTTTGATTGGATTTTAAGCAATTTGTTTTCAAGTGGGTCCCAATGCTGCCATTTTTTGACTTTTTAATCAATAAATTATCACCTAAAAATCCATTTCCAAATATACCCTCTTTGACATAGTCAAACATAGTGATTGATGGAAATGTGTACAAGTAATTCAAAGTAAAAATAGGGGTGATATAGTCTTTTCACACTAGACTTCAATTTTAGGTGATAATTTATTTCTGTTGTAGTTAAAAAAAGGGGGCAAGGTATCTTTTTCATTGGCAACAGTCAAAGAATTGATGGCTTTCCTGAGAAAATGGCTACGAAATAGGGGCCTAATTTATTTTTTTTAATCGAAGTTACACTTGCACAATTTTTTCCAACAAGCGGCAATAAGATTTAGTCATGGTTGTTCTCATTTTTTCTTCATTAAAATGAAAAATATAATCGTTATTCATCACATTAAGCCACCAAATTTGAATTTATATATCTTGTGTGGGGCCCATAACTATTATATTTTTCATTCTCATTTTTATAAAAATAGGAAACAAACGCCTCCCTAAACTTAGTTCCGGTCTTACTTAATACCATGTTAACTTTTTCAATTGCTTGATAACGTGAATTTTACGTTGCTTTACAATATTAAAATCTATAGAATATTAAAAAAGTATCAAATATTATCTATTTAACACATTGGCAGTCAATCGGACCTGGTTTTCAACCGTTGAAAGGGACAATGTTGGAAAATCTACTGCAGTACAGTAAACTTGACACTCACATTGTGGATGTATCACAATAGTCGGAACCAAATAGGCAAATACGAATACATGAAACAATAAATATCCCCAATTTTTTGCATAATGGCTAAAATATTATGTCTTCTTAACGAATTTTAAACGTTGATATGAATATTGTTAATTGCTAGTTAATAATCTTTTCTAGTCTTCAATAATTACAAACCGTTGATAGATTTAAGGAAAATTTAAATGCAGTCTACAAGACTACTACCAACCACAGAATGCCCTCACGTAGACGCTATCGCTAATCAAATATTAAATTTCTTAAATATGTCAATATGGTGAAATGTCTTTTCTTCGTTAATAAATTCATCTCCCTATTATTGAAAATAACTTTTTTATTTGAATAATTTGACTTGCTTGCTACTATTTGATAATTAGTCATATTCACTACAACAAAAATAGCATTTTCTAACGTTTAAAAAACGTTGTTGAAGGTCTTTTGCAATGTTTGGACGTATGTTACAAATCTTGATATTGTTGTTAAGATCAATATTTGTTGTGTGGTTACGTTCAATATTTGTTCCTTCCTTCAAATCAAGAAGAAAATAAGGGTTATTTGACAAATTTTTTGACAAAAATTTTAGCAGATTTTAATAAAATTGGATGAAATGTGTAATGACGAGTTCATGAAAAGTGAGGTTAAAATTAATTATTAACTTTGCACTCGAACTTTTGTTAACGAGTTTTTAAGCTATTTGAATTAAATACTAAGATGATCCAAGTAATGACGTCAAAATATAGACTTATAACTGAATAGGTGGACAATTTTGACATAATTCTAGATCAATCATTGAAGTTGTGTATAGATTTCAAAACTGGGTCCCAGTGTAATATTTTTGGTGATTATATTCAACAATTTAATGTTACTTTTTCTTAGACCGTTACCAAGGATTTCTTGCTCGTTGACAAAATTTGTAGATAAGTCCTTAATGAAAAAATAATATTCTATATTATTATTCGACTCTCAACGTCTTTAATAAAAATTAAAGTGCTTCACTTGCAGAAAAAATTTAATTTTAACATGTAATATACTATTTTCAATATCGAGAGTTTGACAATATTGGACTTACCCAGTACTGTAAAAAAGTTAAAATAATGAGTATTAACATACATAAACGTTGCAAAAGGCAATATTAGCAACATTCACTTAAAAAATATTGCCAAATCTAAATTATTAACATCAATGGCAACATTTACTCATTAAAATGTTGCAATAGACTCTTTTAGCAATATTTAATTAATGAATGTTGTCATTTGTATATTGCAAAAAGGCATTTTTGTTGTGAAGATATAAGTGAATAAATTTTTTTGTTTGTAGTTGAGGAAACCACTAAGCAAATTAAATAAGATAACAAATAACAAGAAGATTATATTACTTTTATGTTTCTAAGCCTAAGATTATAGATTTGTTCTTCAATACATGGAGTTAAATGCACCAAAGGCACTTATTATTACATGATACTTTTTTGTAGATAAAATTAAGATACATTTATAGGTGATGAATACAAGAATCAAACTACATATTTTCTTGGTATCACCTTCAAGGGTTCAAGTTTTCGCTCCACAAGTCCAATCTTGTCATTCGTGTCAATGGGGTTAGGGTTAGTAGAAAAATCATGCTCCCAATCAAATTCGTGAAGCAACGAGCATAATGCAAAGTGCATCATACGATGGCCTAATGGAAGATCGGGACAGATCCTTCTGCCCGCACCAAATGGAATGAACTCAAAATGTTGCCCCTTGTACTCAATTTTCGAGCCTAAAAACCTTTCTGGCTTGAAACACAAAGGCTCCTCCCAGCATTCTTCTTCTCTTCCAATGGCCTAAACATTAACGAAAACTTGAGTATTCTTTGGTATGAAATATCCCACAAGATTAGTCTCCTAAATTGCCCTTCGCGGCAAAAGGAAAAGAATTGGAGGATGCAAGCATAGTGTTTCTGAAAGGGGGCAAGAAAAACCCACACAATAAGTTGCAAAATACAATCGAACTTAAAATAGAAATTAAACTTGCAGAAAATAAAGAACACAACAAGATCTTTCGACCGAAGCCCCAGAGGTTTAGTGACAAGCACCTAATCCCCTGTTGAGCATCCAATCGAAGTGGATATTGCTCGGTTGCACTAAAACCCCAAAAATAGGCAATCGAAGGTTACGGAGTTCAATTACTACAAGAATACACAAGAACGATACTTATCTCTTCGAAGGAACTACAAATCTACCTCAGACTCACAACGAATCAACAGACCACATCCCTAATCTCAACACATGAGAACTCTAAGTATCACTCAAGAACAAACCAGTATTCAGTGATTAATAACCTTCAAAAACATCGAATGATATGATCGATTCCAGAAAATAGGGAAGATTGAAAAACCCTAACTCGAGAGAGAACTGAAGAACACTCTCGAACCTCACTCAAGA